GAACATAAATGTACAACAGTTCAAATGTGTCTGGGCATGCTAAGGAGGCAGGAGGAGAGTTCCCAAACATCCAAGCATGGGATAAGCTGGGTGCCATCCGCCTCAGTTCTGGAGAACATTTGTCATCATTTCAGAAATTCAGCTCCCTCTCTGCCAGTTTCACCTTCAAAGTAGAAATTCTGTAAGTAAGACTCACTCAAGGTCCGCCTTGGCAGCTTCTGAAGCAGAAGAAATGATAGAGAATTCCTCCATATGTGAATGAGTGGGAGGAATGAGCAGCTGGTGGAAACCAAACATTCTACACGTGAGCATATACCCTTCTCTAGAACTGCTCTAGAGAAGTACCAGGGTAAGGAGCAAAAAATGAAAGAAATGGAATGGTTTTCTTTTCCACTCTCCATCTATATGAAAAATGTGAGAAGCAGAAAGTGTCTCCTCCCTCCTATGTATCTGTCAGCACATTTCCAGGAGGCCTGGCCACATCCCGGGCACTGGCTGGCTGGGGGAAAGAGACTGACACAGCACATTCGTCCGCCTCGGAGCCCTCGCCTGGGTGGTCTGCTGTTATTCCTTTGATTAAACTCCCAGGCTGGAAGAGCTGGAGCTGCTCCTAATGATAGCAGGGTCCTGAAATCTCACACTCGCCTGCACAGAGAGGGCCGGTGCTCCCTGTGAGTCGCGGCCTCCCACTCCTCACCACAGAGCTGGGCTCCTTGGCCACATTCTTCTGCTCACTAACAACAGTAACCACAAAGGGCAACGTCTGTGCAGAGGGCTGCAGTGGTAACGCACACCTCTCCCGGCACCGAGACAGTGAGACTGAAGCTCGACTCCAGCGCCCTGTCAGCTACCACAGCACGAAAGATGCTCCCAGAAAACCCTGCTTTCAGGGATGCACACGCTGACTTCCAAAGAACCCCCTCCCCAAAGGACAGCCAGCCTCTCGTGTGCCAAGGGGAAACTAAATTTGACCTGCTCTCTGCTCAGCTTTGTAGGGTACTTGTTGAATAACCCCCACTAAGAACATGTATCTCTTTCAAGCATTATTCCGAGCGTCTGCATGCCGGCACGAACACTGCTGAAGTCGCTATTGTGGCCCCTCCGTGTGGCAAGGAAAGTTTGATGTTCTCGTGTTTTGTAGGCCATAAAGAAAGTTAAATCGTAACAGAAGTAGTGAAAGTCATCACAGGCTAAATGAGGTTCTGTTCTTAGCCATAACAATTTAGCCTCTAATGTAAATTCTGGGTACCTCCAAGTTCTACTGTAATGTTTTGGGGTTGTCAGAGTACTTTGCTTCTTTACTTCTGGCTAGCTCCCTGTGCATCTTCACGAGTGAGCAGGAAGGAAACGGGGTGACACTGCCTCACCCTCCAACCCACCCTCCTCCAGCTACCTGAGTGACCAAGCTAAAAGGCAAAGCCAAGTGCATCTCTCAGCCCCCCTCCCTGCCCCCCCGTCATCTATGAGATGAAGATGAGTTCCTTCACAGAGAAAGCTTTCCTTAAATAGCCTATGTCTTCTCTTCCAGCTTCCATCCTAGCTGCTCTCTGCTGATTCCCTATCCTCCAATACCACTAACCAGCCTACTGTTTCCTTACACACATACAGGCTAGCTGTTATCCTGGAACCTGCTCTCACCCTTCTCCTGCCATCCACTTGCCTACATTTCAGATTTAGTTTCGATAGAATCTCTTCCAAGAAGGCTGCTCTGGCCTTCTCACTCCCATACACAGGCTGGGTTAGGTATTACCCCTTTTGATACTTCTGTTATTCCCTAGAAATATCTCTTTCGTGCATATTCCATGCTAGTACTATCATGTGTTTATGTGGCTGTCACCCTTACCAGACTGTGAGTTATTTCATGCCAAGGACTATGTCTTATATCATCCCCATGGCTTAGTACCAAAGCCTGGAACATTCCTAAGAGCTTAATAAAATGTTTTTGAATGAATAAATTAAAAAAACACATTTGAATTAAAAGTTTTAGGAAAAATGCCACTAAAAGCTTTAATGGAGTAAGCAGTTGAAATTATAGACAAAATAAAATGATTCTGCAAAAACGGACCCAAGGATTTCAATTTTTTATACTCATCTTCCAAAACACAAATCATTAAAAAATCTGTGTTCCTTATGTAGTCGCAGGTCTCTTAACACCTTACCCGGAAAAGCAATGTAAAGATACATCAGAGTTTATGGGATATAATGAAAGCAATACTGGGAGGAAATTCGTAGCTTTAAATCCAGTGACAAGAGAGAATGAAAGTAAGTATCCCACTTAAGAGACTGGGAGGAAACAAAATAAAGCTAGCAAAAGCAGAAGGAAGGGAATTAGTAAAGACAAAACAAAACAACCAATTAGAAACATTAAAACAATAGAATGAATAAATTTGGGCGCCTGGGTGGCTCAGTTGGTTAAGCGACTGCCTTCGGCTCAGGTCATGATCCTGGAGTTCTGGGATCGAGTCTCACATCGGGCTCCCTGCTCAGCAGGGAGTCTGCTTCTCCCCCTGACCCTCCCCACTCTCATGCTCTATCTCATTCTCTCTCTCAAATAAATAAATAAAATCTTTAAAAAAAAAAGAATGAATAAATTTATCCAGAACTATCTTACCAAAAAAAGGGAAGCAGGGGAAGGAAACATTAACCCTAATGGATTTAAAAGGAAGGAAGGAAGGAAGGAAGGAAGGAAGGACGGGCAGACACAAACACAAAATAGGAATTGGAAGTCAGGAAATAATCACAGATATGAGGAATTAAAAAGCATCTGAAGTAATTACTGAACACAAAGCTGCTTCTGATGAAGCCGCCTTGAAGGTTTCACGGCCCAAGTTGAGAGAGAAGGGCAGAGCTGCCCCCACTTTGAGTCTGCACCTCCACTAGCAAACACATGGGCCAGAGCACCTATGAAGCCACTGTAACAGGTTATTATTTACCAGAAGAAGAATAAAAGAATTTTCCAAATTCCAAATTGATGAATTGCTTGCTCTGAGGGGAAGGAGCCAGATAACATACAATTGAACTTTTCAATAACCAAGTTCATTTTGGTTAACACTGCATTTTACCTAAAAACTACTTTTTCAAATCAAATTAGAAATAATTTCTTACTGAAAGCCTTTTATGGCTGAAACACCAATATTTTCCAAATATATGGCATTTAGACTTTACAAAGTAGTTTTTGCATACTATCGTCAGGAGCCTACTGTATTTACCCCATCAACAAACAAAAACCCTGAGGCTGAAAGTTGAGTGAACTGTCCGAGATCACACAGCTGGTCCGTGGTGGCGGAAGACAGATCTACAGATGGCTAGTCCAGCTCGCTTTCCATCACCCCACCCTGCTTATTACATACCACAGCCCCTCCCTCAGTACTGTACCGAGCACCAGCCACCCTTTTACCAGACTCTAAAAGTTAAGACTGACATCTAACGGCAAGTTCAGATCCCTACGTACAGGAGTCTGATGGACTTTTAATTCTCTGGCACTGAAGTTCTCCTTCAACAAGAAAGATGGACTGAAGGAAATGACTTTCCCATTAGGATACAATCACCCTGGAGTCCCACAGGATCAGAATCTTGTCATTTTGCAAGCTTTGCAGCTTACCAAATGACAGAAGCTAAAAATACGTAAAGACTAACATTGGCTATGTTTTTTACTATGACTGCAAAGAAAATTTCCTAATGTCTTGGTGCTTCTAGCTGCTCATTTATAAGCTAGAAACATACACTCTTGTCAGCGACCCAGTGAAAAACGGGTAGCGGATCACTGGCCCTCTCCCTTCTTCACAACCACTTCACATTTCAAAATTCCTTCCTATTCTACCGTGGTCATGACATTCTAGTACCTTCTTCCTATCACTCTATCTGTAAAATTTAACTCGCCCACCCCCCTCAAGTCTCAAAACTGCCCTTGTAAGATATTTTGCTTCCTATTTCAAATCAGGCATCCTCATCTCCCTTCAAACGATTAGGGCTTTGACAAAGAAAATTCATTACAGCCTCACACACTGGGATGAGGCTGAAGTAAAGCTAAAGCTTACTTTTAATTTTGGTTCTAAATTTTATACAGAGAAGCAGGGCACCACCAGGGAGCAGTGTGTTGCCTATTTTTAACACGTGCTCGAAGTAATTTTCAGCTTCACTTTTTTCTAGACTTGATTATCATTACAGAGTTGCGCTAATTAAGACTCTGATGCACCAGAGATATAGCAAAATGTAACTGTGGAGTTAAATTATAATAATTTCTTTGGGGGACTTCAATGCCATTTTGCATAAAGGAAAGGGAGAAGATACGGCTTCTACTTCTAGTTAAATACCATGGGGATGATCAGCAAGGAGGGCAAAAACAATCCCAAAGTTCTTGTGACAGTTTCATTTAACTTCACTGTGTTGTAAGCTTGTTATTATATCTATAACTTAAGGTCAAAGTTGTGGTATCTACTTCCATCTATCCAGCTTCCCGAATAACCTTGATTATATCCCTTCTTTCAGCCTCAGTTTCCCCCATCTGTAAAATGGGGAGAATGACATGTGTTGACTAAAGGTGTACTGAAATGCTTTACTAGTCAGTAGCCATAAAATGTCCTGAGAGCAAGAGATGAAAGATGTATAGTTAAAAAAAAAAAAAAAAAAAAGTAAAAGGTAACGTTACGGCATTCTGGTAAAAAGATTTCTAAGACGAACTCACTGGAAAATTTTACCAAAGAAAGAAGTTATTTTTAAAGATCCTTTAAAAGTCTATTTGACAGCTGAATGTTCAAGTCTGTTTATCCATGAAATAAATATATCAGAGTTGGTAGCGACTTAACTTTGGAATACCTGTAACAGAAGTTTATTTTCTTTAAAGACCAAGAGGAACACTCTCATTCTTTAGCTCACACCAACTAATACTCCTTCAACAAGCATCAGCATACAGGAAATGAGCAGAGGCAGGGAAGGACAGATGACCCTGTCCTTAAGATCCTCGGGACCAAAGAGCTCTTTGGTCCCACAACTGTCCGTACCTGCTGGGTGAGGAGACTGATGTGAGTAGATGGGGAATACTGCCTGGCTGCCTGCTTCTCAGCCAGCCGCTGGAGCTCGGCCGTGACCATGCTTGGGTTATACCGTCGGCTGTACGGAGAACCATCTTCTCCCTCTCTTTGTGGTTTAGCCATTCCCGAGTGTAGCTTGTTCGGATGGCATGAACCTGCTAAAAAAGAGAGAAAAGTTTTTATCCACTTAGGAAAAAAAATCCTAAAAAACTTAGGGTGATGACAGAGAAATCTCAGCCAACAGATACTTTACTGAATCCCAGGGATCTTTGACAACTTGTTACAAGCATTTATTAACATGTTTTTGTTTACTATGAAAGCTTCACGCACACAAAAATTTCATCATATGCAGTGGGTAATAACCACTCGTAGAATTTACTAATTTTAATGAATAAAAAAGTATAGTTTTAAAACTTATTATAATTCTTATTTTTCTTGTAATGAGATTTTACTTGTCAGTAGCCTATGGCATCTACTGTCAAATAAGCCACAATCCGTCTTACCAAGCTCAAAAGGGAAAACAGATAAAAGCAAAACAGTCTAATTAGAAAAACAGCAATAATCTTATATTGATGAAATGACTCATTTTCCTTTCAGATTTAAATGTTCTTCTTCCAACTGTAATATCGGAGAGTTTTTGAGCACTGAAATTATTTAATATAAAATCAAGGTTCATATTTTTTCTATGATGGAAGTCATACATCTCACTGAAAAAAAAAATTTAAAACCCAGAAAATACTATGTTTCCTTTCTGTCTTATTAATGCTTATATAACTGTGATCATTTGGTATATACAATCTGGTGATACTGCTTTAAAAAATCTGTAACTCTTTCATGTTTATTGTGCGATACATAGAAAATTTTATAACAGGTAAGTTATAAATAATACTATAATGAACCAGTGAACTTACTACCCAAATCAAAACCACATTACCAATTAATATGCATCAACTATGTGCTCCTCTTGAGACATCCCTTATTTCCCCTTATCATTCATTCCCTTCCTTTTTAAAAGTATCTTCAATAATGTATTTGTGTGGGTACGCATAAACAAAATACTAGATAATTTTGCTTGGTTTTGAGCTCTACAAAAGTGGTATCTTACTGTAGTAGGTTCCTGAGATTTGTTCTTGTCATTCAATACCATACTTTCAAGATTCATCCTTGCTAAGCATAGCTTAAAATGCATTAATTTATCCGCTGCTTGGTATTCCATTTTGCAAATACACTACAAATTATTTTTCTCTTCCCCCATCAATGGATATTTTAGTTATTTCAAGCTTATTGCTATTATAAACAGTGCAGCCGTGAACACTCTTGAATATCTCCTGGTGCACATGTGCAAGAACCTCTCTTGTGTATAAGCCTAAGAATGGGATTGTTGAATTACAGAGTATGGTAAATCTTCAAATTTATGTCATAATACCAAAGTGGCATTTTTTTACACTCCCACATGCAAAATATGAGAGTTCCTGCTGATCGACATCCCCGACACTTAGTGTTGTCAAGTATCTTAATTTTTCTCACTTCTAAGGGGGTAAAAATCTCATTGTAGTCTCCATTTACATCCACTGCTTAATCATGATGCTGAGCATGTGTTACCTCTTTTCTGATACCACTGATCATTTTTCTATTGGGTTTTTTCTTATTGATTTATGGCAGTTTTGCTTTTGTGTGTCACTGGTTCCATACCATGCGATCTTAAAGATAATCTTGTTTATTTTATCCTAGAAGTTTTTATTAAAGATTTATTTATCTTAGAGAGAAAGAGAGCGTGTGTGCACGCATCCAAGCACGGCAGACAGGGGAGGGAGAGAATCTCACATAGACTCCCTGCTGAGTGCAGAGCCCCATGTGGGGCTCAGTATCATGACCTGGGCCTAAATCAAGAGTCAGATGCTTAACCAACTGAGCCAACCAGATGCCCCTATTTTATCCTAGAAGTTTTAAGTTTTGCATCTGAAATTAATTTTATACATAGTGTAAGTCAGTGACCTCGTTTCATTTTTTTCTCTGTATTATTAACTGATCATCCAAGTACTATGTATTGAGAAACCCCTCCTTTTCCACTATGCACAATGCCATCTTGGATATGTATCAAGGTTCCATCTATCTGTGTGTCTCTAACTTCCTGTTTTTTTCCATTGGTCCATTTGTCTATAACAAATACTACACTGTCTCAGTTATCGTATCATATCATATCTTTTTTTTTGTTCCTCCACTTTTTGTTCTTTCGTAGGTTCTCACTATTCTTGGCCATTTAGAATGGGCTTGTCAAGTGTAACAACAGACCTATTGAGGTTCTGGTTGGAATTGTACTGAATCTAGGGATCAGTGTGATGAGAACCGAAACATTTAGGACACTGACTCTTTCCGTCCATGCATATAAGCTATTTAATCTATTTTATTTAGGTTTTCTCTAATGTCCCTCAAAAAGCCTTATAAAATTTCCTTTCTTTCCTAAATTTATCCCTAAATTTTATTCCTAGATTTATTTTTTTCTTGGTGGTGACTGTTACACAACAATGTGAATGTACGTAGTGCAACTAAACTGTAAACTTAAAAACATAATAAAAAAAGAAATTAAGTATACTTAAAAGAAATATAAAAAAACTTAAAAATAGTTAAAATGGTAAATTTTATATATATTTAACCACACTACAAAAAATTGCTTTGCTGCTAATATACAGAAAAAGCTGATTTTTAATATTGATCTTATGGCCATCTATACTGCTAAAATAATTATTTCTAAAATGTATCTGTAGATTACTTTCAGTTTTCTATGCAGACAATGTATTATCTGCAAATAAATTTTATTTCCTCCTTTTTGATCCTTATGCTTTTAATTTCTTTTGTCTTACTATGCTGGTTCTGGTAAAACATTAAATAGAAGCAATATTGGTGGGCATCCTTTCACGGCTCTTAATGTTAAAAAAAATTCTTTCAGGAGGGGGGTGGGAGGATGGGTTAGCCTGGTGGTGGGTATTGAGGAGGGCACATTCTGCATGGAGCACTGGGTGTTATGCACAAACAATGAATCATGGAACACTTCATCTAAAACTAATGATGTAATGTATGGGGATTAACATAAGAATAAAAAAAAAATTCTTTCAACATTTCCCCATTTACACTGATACCTCATGTAGGATTTTGGCAGATAGCCTTTTTCAGCTCAAGAAGAGTTTCCTTCTCTTCTTATGCTGAGAGCTTTATCATGAATGACTGTGGAATTTTATCAAATTCTTTTTCTGCATCTACTAAGATGAATATGGTTCTTCTCCTTTAGTTTGTTGATGTGGCAAATGTTGTTTATATATTTTCTACTGTTAAGCCCTCCTGTGTTCCTAGGATAAACTTGTTTATGGTGTCCTATCTCTTTCATATGTTGCTAGATTTGGCTGGCTTATACTTTGATTAGAATTTTTGCATTTATGTTCATAAATGAAGCTGGTCTCTAATTTCCCTCATACTATCCTCAACTGGTTTTGTTATTAAGATTAAACTAGGTGTTCAAAATGAGATGAGTATCGTTTCTTTTCCCATTCTCGAGAAGAGTTTAAGATTGGAATTATCTGCCCTTTGAAAGATTGTTAGAACTTACTTATAAAATTATCTGGGCCTCAAATTTTGTGAGATTTTTAACTATTGTTTCAATTATCTTAATACAGGACTGTTGAGGCTTTCATCTTCTTGAGTGAATTTTATGTAAGTTATACTTTTGTATTTGTCCATTTTGTAAGTTTTCAATTTTATTGGAAAAAAACGGTTAACAATTCTTTTTGTCACCTATGCAAAATTTGTATGTTCTATAGGTTTTCCATCCCCAACCCCATATTATTACTCCATGTCTTCTCTCTTCTTGATCAGTCTCACCAGAGGTTTGTCCATCTTATTAGGGTTTTCAAAGAGCTTTTGGTTTTGATATTCCCTAGTGTACTTTATTTCTGAATTCGCTGATTTTTCTGCCCTTATCCTTATTCTTTTTATTTAGATTTATGATGTTTTGTTTCTATAATGTCTGAAATTAAATACTTAGAAATTAATCTTCAGCCTTTCTTCCTTTCAAATGAAAGTTTTTAAGGCAGTAAATTTCCCTCCACATACTGCCTTTCATTGCTCTCCATAAACTTGGACCCACAGTTGTCCCATTATCATTCCATTCTAATACTTTTACATTTATTTCCATTATGATTTCTTCTTTGACTCTTTTTATTTTATTTTTTTTTAGGTTTTAATTTAAATTCCAGTGAGTTAACATACATTGTAATATTAGTTTCAGGTATACAATATAGTGATTCAACACCTCCATACAACACCCAGTATTTGACTCTTTTCAATCCTGAAATTCATGAGGATTTGTTATATGCTATAACTTTTTGTTATTGTCATTCAATTTAATTGCAGTGTAGACAGAGAATGTGCCTGTATGATGCCAATTCTGTGAAATTTGTCTTATTTTATGATGTAGGACATGACTGGTTTTATGAATATATTATGAATGCTCAAGAATGTGTTTTCTCTAATTATTGGGTACACAGTTCTATGTATGACCAACTGATAAAGCTTACCAACTTGTTCAAATCCTCTTTATCTTTGCTGACTTAAAACAATCTCCTTAGTCTATTAGTACCTGATAGATGTATGTAGAAATCTCCCACTAAGACAGTGGATTTATAGACTCCTCATGTACTTGTATCAATCTTTGTTTTATATATTTGGAGGTTATTTTTATTAGATGCACTTAGAACTGTTTTATCTTTCTGCCGAACTAAACCTTTACCTTTTGTCTTATGTAATTACTGTCTGTATCTGTAAGAAAATTTTATATCTTAAAGTCTATTTTAGCATATGTTAATATAGCTATGCCATGTTCCTTCTGGTTGGTATTTACATGGCATTTCTTTCTTTATCCTTTTACTTTCAACCACTCCTTGTTCTTCTCTTTAGGAGTATCTCTCGCTGGTTAACAGCACACAGTTGGATTTTTTTAAAAATTCAACCTGACACTCTTCTAACAAGTTCAACCCATTTATATTTATTTTATTCTTGACATTGGGACTTGGTTTGCTATCTTTTAAGTTTCATTTCTCTTGCTTTTTCTAAGCTTCCTGCTCAATCCATTTTTCTTCTTCCCAAAGATTTAGAATTTCCACATTTTTACTCTTTTGGTGGGGACCTTTGAAATTTCATACTGTGTATTTATCTTTAAAAAGTCTGAAGTTAAGGGGCGCATCGGTGGCTCAGCTGGTTAAGCGACTGCCTTCAGCTCAGATCACGACCCTGGAGTCCCAGGATCGAGTCCCGCATTGGGCTCCCTGCTCAGCGGGGAGTCTGCTTCTCCTTCTGACCCTCCTCCCTCTCATGCCCTCTGTCTCTCATTCTCTCTCTCCCAAATAAATAAATAAAATCTTAAAAAAAAAAAAGTCTGAAGTTAAATCATATCCTACTCTCACTCTCCAACTATTCAATAACCACAGAAAAATTAAACTCAAATTACTTGCAGGCTATTATTGTCACTATACTGTTGTCTACTACTGTTTAAGCCGTTCAGAATGTGTTCTCTGACTGCCATGGAAATAAGCGAAATAGACAATTACAAGAAGTAGAGAATGCCAACTATCTGAAAATTAAACAATATACTTATAAACAATCCATGGGTCAAAGGATAAATCACAACAGAAATTTAAAAATATTTTTGAACTGACTAGCTCCTTTTGTTCCCTATCCCTCTCTGGAAAAAGTGTGAAAAATGAAGGTTTTTTAAAGAAAGTTTTGATTAACACAGGGTATTGGAGACATTGATCTTACTGAATTTCTCTCAAATGGGACAAAACAGTTCAAACCAGAACATTATTATTATTACTATCAATCTTAGAAGATTAAATCACAAGAATAACCACTCAGAATTAGCACACACATACATGCCCATATTCATAGTTATGACTTATTAAGGTATACATTTAATATCTCTGATTCAAGCTGCATATTATAATATTCATTTCATTTGAAATCAGATACTAAGAAATATAAATTGACTATTTACAAAACATAGCTTAGCTGTAACTCATCGTAATATGGATATTACTAAACTGTTTAAAAACTTGACCAATGGTAAGGTATTTACCAAACTAATCTACAGATTCAACACAATCCTATCCAAATCCCATCTGCCTATTTCTGCAGAAACTGACAAGCTCATCCTAAAGTTCATATGAAAATGCAAGGGATCCAGAATAGTCTAAACAATATGGAAAAAAGGAACGAAATTGGAAGAATCACTCTTGGTGACTTCAAAACCTACTACAATTCTACAATACTCAAGACAGTGTGGTACTGGCATAAGGCTAAACATATCTGTCGATCAGTGGAACAGAAATGAGACTCCAGAATAAACCCTTACATTTATGATTAAAGGATTTTTGACAAGAATGCCAAGACAATTCAACAGGGAAATAATACTCTGTTTCAACAAATGGTGCTGGGACAACTGAATATACACATGCAAAACAATGAAGTTAGACCCTTATGCCACATCCTACGCAAAATGGATAAAAAATTCAAAATGGATAGAAGACCTAAATGAAAGAGCCTAAACTATAAAATTCTTAGAAAAAAACATGCATATAAATTTTTGTTACCTTGGATTAGGCAATAATTTTTCAGGTATGATACCAAAAACATAAGCGCAAAATAAAAACAGATAAATTGGATGTCATCAAAATTAAAAGCTTTTGTGCTTCAAAAACATGAAATGATGACCAACGGAAGGGGAGAAAATATTTCAAAATCATGTATCTGACAAGGGACTTGCATCCAGACTACATAAAGAACATAACAATAAAAAATAAATATTTCAATTTAAAAATAGGCAAAGGATTTGAATAGATATTTATCCAAAGAAGGCATACTGATGGCCAAAAAGCACATGAAAAGATGTTCAACATCATTAGTCATCAGGGAAATGCAAATGATAACCACAAAAATGAGACACTACTTCCAAACCACTAGAATAAGTAAAATCAGAAAGACAGATAATACTAAGTGTTGGCTGGCAAGGATGTGGAGAAACTGGAACCTTCATGCATTGCTGGAAGCAAAATGATGTAGTCACTTTGAAAACAGTTTGGAAGTTACTCAAAAAAAAAAAAAAAAAGGCATGAAGCTACCATATGACCCAGTGATTCCACTCCTATGTATACACCCAAGAGAAATGAGAACATTGGTCCACACAAAAACTTGTACACAAACATTAATAGCAGCAATATTCATAATAGCCCCAAAGTGAAAACAATCCAGATGTCCATCAACTGATAAATGGATAAGCAAAGTATGGTATATCCATCCAAAGAATACTCTTCAGCCATACAAAGGAATGAAATACTGACACATGCTACAACATAAATGGCCCCCCCCCTTTTTTTTAAGATTTTATTTATTTATTTATTTGAAAGAGAGAGAATGAGAGAGAGAGAGAGCACATGGGGGGGGGGGTCAGAGGGAGAAGCAGACTCCCCGCTGAGCAGGGAGCCTGATGTGGGACTTGATCCCGGGACTCCAGTATCATGACCTGAGCCGAAGGCAGTCGCTTAATCAACTGAGCCACCCAGGTGCCCCAACATAAATGACCCCTAAAGACATTGGGCTAAGTGAAATAAGTCATTCACAAAACGCCACTAGTTGTATGATTCCACTTACATAAAATGTCCAGAATAGGCAAATCTACAGAGACAGAAAGTAGTTTAGTGGTTGCCAGGGCTGGGGGAAGGAGGAAACAGTGACTACAAACAGGTATGGGGTTTCTTCGGGCATAAAGAAAATGTTCTAAAATAAGAGATAGTGGTGTTGGTTGCACAACTACGTGAATATACTAAAAACCACTGAACTGCACACTTTAAAGTGGTGAATTTCACAGTATATGAATTGTATCTCCACAAAACTGTTATTAAAAATGGGGGAAAAAAAACTTCACTGATAATATGGGTCTAAATACTTCATTTAAAGTTAGATACCTTATTTTAAGAATTCTTTGGTTATTTATTCAGGTCATACTTGACTCTAAATACACTGAAAAATAACTATTTGGATCAGAAAGAATGTATATAGCACACTTGTAGGTCTATGATGATCTGTGATGGAAAATCTCCTGACTAGACTGTAAGCTCCTACTAAATAGAATGGTCTCATTCATCCTTTATCCAGCATCTCAAAGAAGCCCTGATTCATTCTGTATTAATGGATGAATGCTACTGGACCAAATGCAAGACTCTTCCTCAGTCTCATCAGAACAATGCATGTGTCCCTTTACCTTTCAAAAGAAAGGGCAAAATGGAAGAGATGGCATTCTTTTTTTTTTTTCTTTTATGAGGGCCGGGGAGAAGCTGACATTGTAGGCTGCCTTTCATTTTCTCACACTCACCTGCCTTTGCTGAAGAGGGACGAGACAGTTTCTGGCTATAGATGTGGGCAGCCCTTTGGAAAGAGGAAAAAGGGCCACTGGTGTAACTGCCTGATCGACAGCGCGGCAGACCAGCAGGGCTCGGTGCGTTCTGTGTCCCAGGATTTATGAAGGGAGAGGCACTGTCAGGGGCTGTGCTCAGTAAACCTGCTGGCTGGTGAGACATGCTGGGGATAGCTGGAGGAATCTGAGAGAAAGGAGAATGGTGGCCAGGCCCTGATGAGAGGTCAGAGGTTGTAATAATAGATGACAAGTGGGTACTGGGAATTTTCTGCAGAAGAGTAACAACAGGACCAGAGAAAGAAGCGGAGGAAGAATTTGTATAGACTAATTTAGCCTCTTTGTCTGCTGAAGTGGTAAATCCTATTAAAACAAAAACAAACAAAATAAAACAAAACAAAGCAGATCATTTTAGGAAAAACTGACATATAATCTCTATAAAACATGAAGTAAACATTTTTAAACATTGAAATAATGTTAGCACGAAACAGAAATCATGAAAGACAGAGACTTTAATGAGTGTTCATCATGAACTTAACGAATCATGCCTATCAAGACAACCTGGCAACAGAAACAGTTTATTTGTAGTCCTAGAATTTCTAAAAGCTGGAGTTGAGACTACCTCCATCAACCAGAGCAGGCATTTTACAAATGTGAGGGCGTTAGGACAAAAGTTTCTGGTAGTGACAGCTAACTGCTCTCCCTCTGCTTTTCACCCTTCTGGGGGGGAGAAAAAGTGCTCAGAAATTTCTAAATATTAAGAAAATGAAAAATTCCTCAGAAGGAAAATAGATTATCAGCAAATAGAAGGAAATTCTAAGGGAAGAGAAAAAACAAAGAAAAGGAACTTCTTTGGGGTAATGCCTTACACTTTAGAATCATTTACAATCTGATGACTTTTTTTCTCCCCTTTTAGGGATTTATCAGAGAGCGGCAAATCTATGTAGGTTTGAAGTCACTCACGAGATAATTTATCACAGTGAATTTCTGTGGCCTGCTGCTGTTTGGGCTGCTTTATTTTCACTTCGGCCATCGTCTCAGGGTGATCTGAAACAGAAAATAAATACAAATGCTCTACATATAATTTTGTTTCCAAAATATAACACAATTCATAATTAATCCCAGGAACATTGCATACCCCACCATACTTTCCCAAGGCTGGCCACATCCACAGCCCTGTTGAGTGGGCAACCAACCAAAAGATTCCCAATCATCCCCAACCCCAGCTCCAGCTAACTGAACCAGGGAAAAATACTTAAACCCAGGACAGCCATCCATGGATGGCAACAAGCTAGGACATGCCTGGAAAAGAAAAGAAAAAAAAATAATAATAATAAGTAAGGGCAGTCAGATGCCTCTACCAAGAATTCAAACTAGGGAAACTAAGAAACCAAGCTTGTTGGTGGTACCCACTGGAGCAAAGAAATCATAATACATATGGAGCAGTGCAACAACCAAGAGACAGAAAGAACAGCCCCAATATTTGTTGGCAAGGTACCTGGATACTACAATAACTCTGTATCTAATCTTTCTTGCTTGCTCTTATTTATTTATTTATTTACTTATGAATGAGAATGGTGGGGGGAGAGGGGCAGAGGAAGAGAGAGAATCTTTTTTTTTTTCCCTGCTGAGTGTAGAGTCTCATGCAGGGCTTTATAATGTACCTGATAGCAATGTAATCAAATGATAACAAAGGATAGCAACAATAATGAAGATCATATTTTTTTTTTTTTTTAAGATTTTATT